GCAGCCCAGTGTAAGCTAAAGAAGGATTATTATGAACTGTGAACCTTGCAGATCATACAGAGCTGGAAACAAGTAGAAAAGGTCCACTTTTTCATACTTAATCAGAGCTCAGTAAACACTTTGCCCCAGAGGATTTCTGGGTAATGAAGTCCTTCAGTTGTGTCATTAGATGCCTCGACACTGACGTGAGCAGCTCTGTGAGTAAGAGGCTGAGGATGCCGATGCGTTCAGCTGGGAAACGCTGAATCTGACAGCTCGGCTCTTTTCTTCTGTTTGAGCACTTTTCTTTCTTTTCTTTCTATTTGCGACTTTGACAGCAGGCTTCAACAAAAGACATCAGGGGGCTCGAGTCGACTCGGCCTTACGCTGTGAGCCTCAGAGCGTCGTCACTCTGAACAGCAGCCGGAGTGATTTTTTTTTATCTGCTGACGTCTGTCATACCGAGGGACAAAACCTGCTGCGAGCTCCGACCACGAGCTGAGAGGATTTTACCTCGGTGTCAACCAATCAAAGCAACATTTAGTCCCACAGATGAGAGAAGATCCAACCATAAGTTCAACAGTAATCAGATTTTTTACAATTTAAGATTTGAGCCTTTTTTCATGAGCTGCAGATATAATCGTACTTTTCTCACTACGTCACAATAAAACATTTTATCCTGTAAATGATTCATATTTTTGCCTGAATGCAGGATTTTTGACCAGATACATCTCCACGTATTGTAAGCTCAGCCAAAATGAGATTATATAAATATTTCTACAAATGTGTTGTTTCCATCTGCAAAAGTTAAAGATCTCTACACTTATCATAAAGTATTCTGATTAATAACATAATGAAAGAGTCTACATCAGAGACGCCTTAAAGATGGAAATATCTTTCCATGCCGAGGCTTCATGTTTGGTTGTGCAGCACAGTCCTGACAGCAGCCAGCAGATAAACGCGTGTGAGCACGCGGCGCCGTCTCCGGCTGATCTTTGTGCCTCTGCGTCAAAGTCGTTACTTTTGTTGCACATTCCAGCTGTTTGCTTGTTGGTGAATCCACTTCTTTAAGCTTTACGGCCTCGTTAAGTTTCAGTCTGAAACCAAAGACGTGTTTTGAAAAGTCACCGGTGTGTTTGTGTGTGATTTTGTCTCGATGATGTTTTGACCTGTTTGTGTGTTTGGTGGTTTGTTTCCAGAATGTTTTATTTTTAGATTATTTAATGCACAGATTTGTTATTATTATCTTTCGAGCATCTGTCTTCTTAAAGGTGTCGCCTGCACTTAATGTTGTTCACGGTTATTAAACCCTCCTCACCTCAGACCAGCAGTGACTTCACTCTTAGGCTGATTGTTTTTGTATTAGATGTATGTAGATTATATTTCTCTAATTTTTATAAATATATATCAGTTTGATGAACTGCAGATGACATGTATGAGAACACTACGACTGTAGTTACTCACAGATACCAAATAAATCTTTATCACAAAACCAGATTGTTGTGATTTGTTCAGGGTTAAGACTTTTGTTGTTGCATTAAAAACTGTTTCTTTCCATGGATACAGGCA